AGGTCCAGGACATTAAAGTCCGGACTCATGGAGGGCTGCAGTGTAAGCTTAATGTTCCACTCGCCCGAATGGCCCGCAGCAACAATAGCAGGGTCGTCGGCTGCGACGTGGGGCCGTGCGTTGTCTTGCTGTATCCAAATCACGTCAGAGCGTCGGCCAGGCCACTTCAGCTTGATCGCGGGAATCACATGCTCCACTAGGTATTGAAGGTACACGACCTTGGTAACCACTCGTGGGGCTGTGATGGGGTGGCCGAGGGCACGATTCCGACTTCGCCGTTGCGCAAACTTCGTCTCGACGAAGGCCCAGGTACCGATCTTGCCGTTCACATCGCTTCCAACTTGCCACTAAAGCGCGGTCGCTTGACAGCAGTCAAGAACATGACCTTCGTTATGTGTCGCTTCGATTGGCACTTGCGCACTGGGAGCTCTTCGTCATGCCAAAGTAATAGCGCCGGTCGACTTGGGTGACAAAGAACCACTGCTCGTTGATGTGTATCCAATCGCACATGTCGTGCCACACAAGCTCATCTTTGTGTCCCTGACGTAGGAAGGAGCGAGCAAACGCAACGCGTGCGGCCTTGTGCATGTCTGTCAGCATGGGCTTGAGCGGGCTTGTGCGGCGTCGAAGCTACTTGGCCTTGACCAGCCTCCACAGTATTGTCGACGGGATGCCCGACGACTCGGCCAGCGCACGGAAGGTCGAGCGATGGTACGGATCGGCGGACTTGACGGCAGTCTCTACATGCGCCAGCGACGTTGTCCGCTTGCAGCCACAACGCCCCCTCTTCCGTGATGACACGTCGGTATAGCCAAGGGCCGCCTCCGTAGCTTGTCCGCGTCGCCATATCAGGGATGCCGCTTGTTGCGTTATGCCGAACTCAACGCACAATGCCTTCAACGCTCCGTATGGTCCGTATGGAGCGACACCGCCTGTCTTGATCGCGGCCATGGAACAGTACAGTCGCTTTCGCTCACATAGGGTGAGCTCACGACCGATCGTGGAGGTGGTGGCCATGCGTGTGGGTGGTTTCTAGTTGGGCGATTCTGAAGTGTGCTAGCCATATCTACGTCTCAAGGTGAGCCGAACGCGCAAAAATCAGCCCAATCGGAGTAGAATTGAAGGAGTGGCCGGTATTTAAAGCTAATTTTGACGTGTGCT